GAATATCAAACGTCAATATTTCACTTAACTGCTTATGTTTGTTGATTATAGAGGAGAACATCAAGCGAATTGATCATGGAATCTGTTCTGTGAAATGAAGTTCACTGGTATCTTTTCGAATTTGGTAGAATCTAATGTACTATTCACTGTAATGATCATAGTTTGAACGCTTGCTTAGTGGCGAAAACTGTTTTGTCTTCTTTTTTAGTGTCAGCAAAACCTTCGAGCAAACATGAAGAATGGTGTCTAACACGTTAACTGGTGAAAAGAAGACTTTTACAACGAAAAAAAAAAGAATTATGCATTTGTTGTTATTTGTTTGTAATAAATATCAATTTTGTGATTTTTATAAATCACAATGATTTTAACATTAAAGCCAGTGTTAGGAATAACATAAAATTAAAATAATCTAATCCCTTCCTTTTGTTGTCAGCTTCTCGAAATATTTGTTTTCAAAGTTTATTTGATGAAATCCGATGTCGTACGATTTAGATTTGTGAATTACGTGAATTCTGTCATCAAAAAATATCTACTGTTGTTCTTTGTGCCTATATTGGCAATATATGTAAACGTACATATTAGTGACAAAATGGCAATGCGCATATGCGATCGCTCGTTCTCCCGCTTGAAAATGAAAACTTTAGTCACTTTTTTTTCGTATGAATGATTTTCTTTTTTTGTGCTGTCTTAACCATTATGTTCATGCTTTTCATCAAATTATTCCCTTCTTCACTAGATAAAAACTTCGAAAAAATAGAAGGGTGTGGGTAGAAGAAGACTAGCACTCCACACCTACACCGTTGAATAACAGCTCTCACTCTAAGCACTAATTCGCACGCTGTTTGTTTCATTAGTATATCTTCATTTTTCTTTTTGTAACATGTTACTAGTTAGAAATAAATCAATTCTCTCCTTGACTTCTTCATTCAAACATGACACTGACTAATAAATTAAAGTCATTACACACTGCTTATGATCTTCTAACTAGCGTTAATGATTGTAACTTTATGCTCCACCGTAACAACCACTTGATGAGATCTTTTGCCGAATCGGAACGAGTCGTAGTAGCTAATCGTATTGCTTATTTGAGTCAGAGATAGATAAGATCATCTTCTTTGAGCGTTGTCATCCATTATATATGGTCCAAATATGAGATAGAACTATCAGTTTATAATGATAAAATTGAAAAAATTCGTTGGTTTTTACTTTCGACCCACTCTGTATATCAAAATAGAAAAAAATATCATTCACGCTCTTTCACATCATAGGATTAGAAAAAAAAACCATAGTGCACAGACAATAGTATATCGATAGAAAGAAAGTTTGAAACAGCTTTTAAATTTATGCTTTATAAGATGTATACGGTGGTGGTGGTGATACTTGATGTACACCAGGATTATGAAATGATTGTGGTAAATACACTGCATGTGATCCTGTTGTTCGTTGTCTTGTTTTACACAAACAACTGCATAATGCAATTAAGAGGATACATCCAATATTACTGCCGGGAATAACACCGATTAGTCCAGCAAGTGTCAGATTTCCCAAATAATAATAATCATTGCAATAAGGGTATGAACCACAAGTCGATCTAGCTTGAAAAAAATAAGAAACATCCGCAGAACGATAAGATACAAATATGTTGAAAGCGACACTTACATGGACAACAAAATCTAAGAAAGCCTGAACCACAGCATTTAGCTAAAACGAGAGATTAATGTAGAAAAGCTCGAACAAACACCAGAGCTCTGAATGATCTGGTATGAGAACGATAGAAAAATGGTTCCATAAAGTGAAGTCACAGAAACTGTCTTGTCCCAGTTTATGGGTTTCAAAGCTTTTTTGGTTCGATACTATCTGCTTCCGTTTACGTTTGTTGATTTTACTAAGAGACCTATTTTTAAAAAGTCAGTATTCTGATAGTATATAGCAAGTTGGTGAGTTTTTCTTGAGTGAAAAATGCCTCAATAAGCAGTTTTTTTTTTCTAAAGCAAATGTTTCATGAGACGAAGATCTTATCTCATCCCATTCCATTAGGCATCCCGTCGGGTCGATTTAATTTCAGTCTATATTTAAACAATATGTAGTCGACTTCAAACTGTAATGTAAATCTTAAAGGTGTTTAGAATTATTCATGACTTTACAATTTGGTATCGAATAAATTTACACACCCAAAAATCTCTCCGTCAATGAAAAAAGGAGTCTATATGCTACAGAGTAATCAATTATAGCAAAGAATAATTCTAAAGACACTCAAACTCGCTAGATCCTTTCTCCATTAATAAAAACCAAGAATTCATAGAGTAGATGTTCGTTCTATGTGACATATTTCTTTTATTTATAGTAAGATCCCCTTCCCACCGTTGTGTATCGAACAACGCATTGATTTTCCTAAGTATTCTAAATCTCCGCTGTTTGCAAAAACTAGATGTGGTTTTTATTTAAATTAAGTTTGAAATGGAAAAAACCATAGATTTTCGTTAGAAGTGTTGATCGAGACAGAGGTGTGCGAGTCATTCACTTGTTTGAGTCATAGTTCGAGTCGAATCGTCAAAAAAAAAATTTCTAATCAAGTCCAGTCATGAGTAACATTTCTCCCATTCGACTCGAGTCATTGTTAATTGAAATCGACTTGAAAAATGATTTTACTTTATCATCTTCCAATAAAAAAAAAATAAAGTCTTCAAGAAAAAATATTTACAACGAATCTGGGCCACCTTTATAAGCTGTACTACAACCAGTGTTATAGGTACAACAACTCGAGCAATCAGATGAAACACTCGATAGAGCACAGACGATAATCATCAAAATTGATGAAACGGCAAGAGAAGTTAGAGAAGACATGAAGGTTTTTACTTTCTCACAAATTGAAAGGAAAGAAGATGTATTCGCTGTTTATTTCGCTTCTCACCTTCTTTATATGGATGCGCTATTATCAGCTTTCTTTTCACATGTTTGAAAAAAGATAGATAGATAATGATATCATCTTTGCTTTCACCTTGATTGTGCAAGATTCAAACGAGGATGACGTAGAAAACGACGTCGTTTTCTAGAACGCAAATGCATAGGGACCTATAAGAACATTTTTGCGACATCATTACTTTTCCTTCATTCATGATTATTCTGACGCAGAATTTCATGAGAAGTCGTTTAGTACTATAATAAAACTATTTCTGAAGAATATATAGGGTATGAGTGTGAGTTTAGGTGTGAGTATGAGTGCCATCCTTCTCTTCTTCATCATACTCACACCCATCACACCTCACCCAACACCCACACTTATCCTGAATATTGATTAAAACTTATTCATTTAATTAACAAGCAGCACTATTTACTGGTACTTTTGTATTAATATTAAAGAATTTATTAATTTACTGAGCGACGAAATACTTATCAAACATCAAATTTTACACTGATATTTTCGTTTTTTTTACTGATGATTTGAAAATAATACTCAGCAAATACTACTGAAAATTTACAAAAAAATACTCAGCATAAAATTTATACCCGAAATGAATCAGATGTCTATGAAGTAATTACAAAGAAAAGTCGGAATCAGAATCGAATGGTGCAACTCCGCTAATCACTAGTGTGAAACGAGAGAACAATCATATTCTTATTGGAAATACAAATAGTTACTGCTAAGAACGGATGTAAAGAAAATGCCTAGACAATTTAGTTTTGTGATGAGAACAAACAAATAAAATATGTTGAAGATCGGTCAATAATTATATTGATTCATTTATTTTGGTGCAGATGAAGAAGCATGCACACTCAAATTGAATGATTGTGTCATCAACAAGAACAATCAAATCTAACATTAAGATTCGTTTATTGAAATAGCTTTAAGATAAAATGTTTGTTAAGCATAGAATTTACTAATTTTTATTCCAAGGAAGTCTTTTTTCAAATAACCTATAAAGTAATTGTCTATTACGGAAATGGTTTCATATATTATTAACAGTCAGTTATTCTCATTTGCATAAGAGACTTTTTTTTCATCTGCAATAAAATTAACATAACTACGTAGAAACAATTTGTTTTTAAGAAGAAAGTCACTATACTGTTCACAAGGAAAAAAAAGTGAAAACAGCTCTCATGCGTATCAAATAATAAGCTGAAAGCGCATAATTTTTCACATCCATACGATAGCTATTTGCTTCTAAAGACTTCTTCAAATAAGAAACAAAATAATAGAAAAGCAATAATTTGAACGCAAAAATTTCAGAAATATAGTTTTTCTTCAATTTGTACTGTTATTATTTAAGAATAAATTTCCGATTAATAATTTTCTTGTTCTGAACAATATTTTAATATTTGTATGTTCCTCGAGACAAAACTCAAGTAAAAAAAAAACAAAAAGAAAATTTTTTTTTACAGTATATTAAGTATGCATCAGATATTTCACTCCGAAGCTAATTATCTTGAAATGCAATATGCTGAAGTGAAAAAAAATGTTTTGTTCTTTCTACTTCTAACTGTATACAGTATAGTTCTTTACATGTCCGTTTTTTTTTCATAATTAAGACAAAAAATTTTTTTTAAAACATTTCTTTTTCATAAGCAATAATTTCAAACTTCAGTAGTTTTCTTCTTACAATGTATTTAAGTATTATTGAACTCAAAGAAAAAATAATCAAACTCAATTTATTCGAAAATGAAATTTCTCTCTCAGATGCTTTTCATCATCGTACAGCAATTATTTCAACACGATTCTACATATTTTTACTCCTATTGTGTGTTAGTATTCTGATTAGACTAAATGAAAAAATCATTTTGAGTTTGTTTGAATAGAGATGTGGAAAATGAGTTTGGAATCTAATAGAGATTGAAATTGTTATTTTTGATTTTGCAAAAAAAGATATTTTTTATAAAGATATTAGTCCACTTGTTTATTCAAAATTTAAAACTTTTTTTAGTTTATTTAATGACAAAGATATCAGACGCTTAGTATTTTTTTTTAATGTAATAATAAATTAGTAATTGTTTTGATGATCAGGACATGGGGACATTGATGATTGGTTAAATTTTATTACGAGTAAATAATTTTTTATCCACACTATCTGTATGTCCTGTTTTGATGAAAATGGATTGATATGGGGTGATTGTCTAAGAGAATCGAACGTTTCTCGAGCAAGCTATGAAAATGGGTTGAGATGGGGTGACTGTCTAAAAAAATGAAATTTTCTACGACATGCTGTGGCTTGTCTGATAAACATTGTATATGTCTTTGTATAAAAGAATAGGTTTAACTTCTTTAAAATTACATAAAAGCTGATGACCAGCGATAAGACGAAGCGTGAACATTTGTTTGCACCAGTGAGAAAAACGATCGGAAATCTTTTCAGTAGATAGTTTGTTCTGAAGTACATTGATTATTTTTTTGCTTTGAGCATGAGTGATAACAGCTTTATTACGAAATATAGGATTTAACGCATCAATATGCTTTTTTTAGCAAGTTCATAAAATTTTTCACGTGCAAAATCATTGATAATAGGATGAGAATAGGTTGATTGTTGTAGTGTCATTGTTGATATTGCAAAAGAAAATATCGAAAGCTATTTAACACTCAATGAACGTTGTTTATGAAAATGAAAGAAATTGGTAGTTAGATAATATAGAATTATTACGAACAAAGAACGAATTCTGTCTAGTCAAAATTGAATTTGATAGAAGTTCAAAAAAAAAAACAATTTTGTCTGAAATTTAAATTTGTCCGTGATATAGATGTATGTATTCTCTTTTTTCTTTCCTTCTCATTCTACAAGCAAGAATGCAGCAAAAAAAAACGTGTGGCGTGACAATAACAGTACATGTGCTTATTAACCTACTTCAATGAACAGAAAAGAAGAATTCATTTTTAGTGCAGCTCGGAAAAAAAGTCGTAAAAACATGTTCTCGGTGGCCTGTAAGAGTAAAGTAAATAATCAAGAAAAAGATCGCACTTTTTTTTAATATGACCCGAGAATAAGTAACACAATCATCAAGGTTGCTCACTCAATATCATGCACAAAAGCTATTCAAACAAACTCGACTTGATGCCGCTCAAATAGATTCTTCACACATCTGATTAACGAGGAATGAATTTTTCTTTTTATTGTGCATTTCAAAAACGAAGATGGGTCGCCATTTCTCAAATAATTTGAAAACACGTGCGGTTATAGAGTTTTCAAGTCGACCAAAACGGAGATCCTTAATTATCCGTTTCTGCCAGTAAACGGTGACAAAATGACAACTTTAAGATAGTAAAACATGTCGTATTTTCGCCGTACACGGTCGTAGATGTACTGTAATCTCACTACGATACAGCCGTATTTCTGCATCCTCAACTGTCTAATCGCTTTAGAGTTCAAACTCTGTGCATAAGATAGATCCCATTGAGATATGAAAAACCCTAAAAGGATAAATCTCCTTAGGCCTTCTATCCAGAGTTATTGGTATTTTACTGCAATTTTAGATTATGGCATGGTATATATCAACAAATCGAATGACGGTATTTCGACCTGAGATTTTGCCCACAAATGGATCTATTAGTGGGCAAAGTGTTCTGAAAATTCCTGCTCAAAAGAATTTTTCTTTTCCGAAATATTGAAGTCTCGAGGAAGAAGCATTCTTTTGATTTGAAATTTTCAGGACATTTTGCTCATTAATAGATCCGTTTGTAGGCAACATCTCAGGTCGAAATACCGTCATTCAATTTATTGGTATATAACATGCCATAGTCTAAAATTGCAGTAAAATACCAATAGCTCTGGACAGACGGCTCAAGGGAATACATGCTTTTTGAGCTTTTCATATCTCAATGGAATCTATCCTATGCATAGAATTCGAATTGAACTGCAACTGGGCAGTTGAAAAGGTTTCCTCGTCAGTTCATAAGTCAGTACTCATTCATAATTATCTTTAAAGAGAAGACTGTAGCTGTATGAAGATAGAATGAATTTTTCATTCTGTGGATTGTACTAGAACCACAGATTCACAATCTACAAATCTAAGAATGACCAACATTTTCATCAAAAGTTCCTCAAAACTTATGAGCATAATACTGACAATATCAGAGCCATTTTTTGTCAATTACAGTTGACAGACAATGTTTTTCAAATTATCGTTGCCAATGTTTTCGACCATGTAGGATCGATTGGCAGCGTTTGTTGTGTTACTCAACGATATTTCTGACGCCATACAACTATTCGCTAAATTATTATCAAGCAATTGTGTGAGGGTGTGAGTGCAAGTATGCGTTTGCGAGCGTAGCTCTAGGTGTGAGATTTGGAGAAGGATAAAGATGAGGCAGATATCCATATTCACACCCACACAACCACCCTCTAGCGTCATATAAGAGAATATGTTTGTGATAATAATGTATATAGCACAATAAGATAAACCCTATTTTGGATCTTATTACACCTTAAACGAACACAAGATGCGCATATAGAAATGGTGTAAACCTGTAACAACAATTCAATATCATATTAACTGAAATACAACTGATTCATTACAATCCTAACTGCTGTGTATGTTATTCAATTTCCAC